GTCTTTGGAGTCAAGCATTCCTTCCCGGGCTGAAATCCCTGCTTTTCCATTTACCAGCTGTGTAACCTTGAGCAAATTCCTTAACTTCTCTGAGCCTCCGGCCACCTCCTCTAGGAAGCTTTCCTTGTCTCCTAGATTCAGTTAGGTTCCCACTCTGCATCCCTCCATCTCTCACAGCCCGCGGCAGCTAGCAAATCTGTTATTAAGTAATTGTATGTTGTCCCACACTCCCACAGCTCAGGGAGGCAGGGATGTTTTTCGTAGGATAGTCTGTGTAGCGCCTGGCACAGATGGGGTGTGCAGGCATTTGTTATGGAATGAATAAAAGACTGAAGGTCCGGAGGGATGCATGGTGGGGAAATGCATAGTCTTTCCCCAGACTAGCGGGGAAATGAAATGGGCTCATGCAAGGAAGATGGTCCTCAGTTCGCTAATGGGTTAAAGAATAGTGGAAATACACACTAGTGGAGAGAGTTCCAAGAGACCCAAAGATAGAGTGAGACCCGGTTCCTGAAGAGCTGAGATAATGGCTTTCCTTTCTATTATGTGTTACAACCAAAAAGCACTTAATTTGCACAAAACATCTACATATACCCTCATCCTCAGAGGCGGGTAAACTGCTGCCTAGCAGAGATCAGTGACTTGCCCAAGGCCACCTGACCAATAACGGCCCTGATCCTCAGCACTGCTCACTAGCTGTGGAACACAGGTCACCGCCTCCAAGATTTGGGCATTGATGTTGCACAGGTTCTGGTTTGGATCCCACGAAATGCATGACTTTGGCCTCGTTACTTTAGCTCTCTGAGCCTTGTTTCACTAATCTTCATGATAGCAATGATGACCCAGATCCCTGCAGCCTGTATAAGATAGCAGATGTGAGGTACTCAGACTGATTCTTGGTTTATGGTGGAGAATCCAGAAATGTTCGTGGGATGAATGAATGGAATGCATGCAGTGGTGGATACTCTGAAATGTGAGGGGCCTTAAAATCATGCCATTTAGGGAATAGGAGGTAGGTTATGGGTAATTTTTTTTTTCCAGAACAGGGAATGAAATTCAGGACCTTGTGCTTGCCAGGCGGGCGCGGTGCCACTCAGCTATATCCCTGGCCCTTGAGAATAATTTTTATCTCTTCCCACTTTCTTTCTGCAATTCCTCTGAGATTTTGCTACTGGCCTGCATTATATTGTGTTATAATTTAATGTTTGCAAACCAAGAAAAGTGAACCAACCCTAGCTAGGTTAGCATTCTTTTTATATGTGCTTTTACTACCTTTTTGCTGATGACAAAGTACTTTACTGCTTGTAAAAAACAAGTTTTTAATTGCAGAAAGATATCATGGGGAAAAATGAAAGTCCAAGTTTAGGCCCAGTAGATGCAAGATGCTGACATATTGTTTTTCTTTTGGAGGGGAGGGAGAAGTATGGGACAGTATGGTGGCTAATTTCATGTCATTTTGGCTGGGCTAAGGGATGCCCAGGTCCCTTCTGAGTGTGGATGTGAGAGTATTTCCAGAGGAGATTAATGTTTGAATTGGTAGTAAAGAAGATTGCCAGCTGGTACATGGTGTACTTGGGATATGAATCTTTTTTCGAGACTGAGTATTAAACCCAGGGCCTAGTGAATGTCAAGTGCAAGCTCTACCATTGAGCTACACTCCCAGCCCCTGGGATTTGAATTGTGGTTTATCCTATGCCAAAGCTTTTGCTATGAATGAGTGAATGAACGAACAGTTGATAGGGCCATGAGTCCAGGGGAGAAAGTTCTGTTGTCATATACTTTCTCTTGGATCCCACAAAGACTGAGATGGGGCCTGGGGGACTTTCTATTACAGTATGCACAGTTGGCATAGATGCCTTCTGCTGATGTGCCCTGTGTCTGTATTTTCATCCCCTTTCCTCCCTCTTAGCATTTAGTAAAGTCTATTTTTTTTCCTTTCTGTTACCAGGGATTGAACCCAGGGCCTTGTTGCGTGTTAGGCAAGCAGTCTACCACTGAGCTACATCCCCAGCCCTTTTTATTTTTATTTTTGGGTCGAACTTGGAATCTTTACCGGGGATTGAACTTGGGACCTTGTGCTTGTGAGGCAAGGGCCGGAACCACTGAGCTAAATCCCCGGCCCTCTTTTTATTTTTATTTTGAAAAAGTACTTTGTCTTTTGGTAGTGCTGGGGATCAAACCCAGAGCCTCATACACACTGAGTAGGCACTCTATCACTGGACTATACGCTCAGCCCTTTATGATTTTATTATTTTATTTTATGGTACTGGGGATTAAACCCAGGGCCTTTGCACTGAGCCATATCTTTAGTTGTTTGTTTTATTTTTTATTTTGAGACAGGGTCTTGCTGAGTCACTGAGTTTTCCAGGCTGGGCTGAATTTGTGATCCTTCTGCCTCAGCTTCCCAGAATGCTGGGATTACAAGCATTCCCCACCTTACCTAGCTCCTAGTAAAATCTTTTTCTAAAGTTTATACTGTATGCACACAGAGAAAAGCAAAGCAAAAGAAAAGTAAAAAGGTAAAAGTCCCCATTTAGTTCTTTATATTCTCCTATTTTTGTGCATCAATTAAGCATATATTATAAGGAACCCTGCTAACCTGCAATTCTGCAACTACTCTTCCTCTTTCCGCTTGACATGGCCCATAGATACCTTTCCTTGCTTATTCATGCAAATCTACCCTGTTCTTTTTACTAAAAGAGCTTCCAGAGGCCAGGATTTATAGGCCAGCACTCGGGAGACGTACTTCGAACACATGTGAAAACGGTGACAGTAACCACCATTTCCTGGCCTGAACTGGGTGTGAGACTCTGAACTAAGCTCTTCCATGTGTTATTTCATTGGATTTTCGATCTTGGTAGCCATCATTTGCAAACCCATCTTAGTCCCATTTTTCAGATGAGAAACTGAGGTGCAGAGACTTTGAAAGCTCAAAGTTACACAACTGGCTCAGCGGTGTGGAGCTAGAATTTGAATCTTCCTTTGTCCTGAGTGAAAGCTTTTGCTGTGAATGGATGTATAAGCAGTTAATGGAGTCCTACGTCCAGAGAAAGTTCTGCCTGCAGGTCCCTCTCTGTGTGTGTGGGATTCTGCCTTCCTAGGGTTTACAGTTCTTGGCATCAGTGTTAGCAGACAGAAGGGGCTCAGGAAAGGCCCTTTCTGTGCCTGCAGGAATCCTGTGGCCATGCTTACTTTTCATGGGAAGTAGCATTTTTCAATCTCCTATTCTAAAAATAAGCCACAATTTGTTAGGGGCCCTTGAGGACTAGCCCAGGCATTTCAGGACAGCTATTTGCCTGTCCGCAGCACAGGAAATTAACCAGAACTGCAAAGCCCTTCCCTTCTTCCCACAGGCCGGCTCTGGAAACGCCCAGTGTTTTGCTGCAGCTCTCCTGAAGGACTGTGGAGACACCAAGGGCAGTTTCACTCAGATCCACCTCTCTATAAGGAACATGAGAGAGAAATGTACGAGGCAGAACCGGGTCAGCTCTGCTGCAAAGAGCTTGCAGGGAGAGCTCGCAGCTGTCCTCAACCTGGGGGGTGGGGGGGAGTGTTGCAAGTCGAAGATGCTCTGGGCCTCAGATGTGACTGCAGAATCTACCTGGGATCTGCAGACTACAGTGCTGGTTCCTGTTCCAATGGCAGTGCTTTGCAGGGCCACTTGCATTGAGCCTCTTCCTATTCCACACCTTTAAAATCCTCCATCATGAAATGACTGGGTAGATTATCACAGGAGTGTTGTATGGTATCAGGCCAGGAAATATTGATGATAGTAATAATATTGAAAATAGGAATGACAACCACATCATTTGTGGAATACTGTGCTTTCCACACAGTAGCACATGTAATTTTAAAACAAATACTATAAAGACTGTATTATTAGCCCCATTTTACAGACAGGAGAATGAAGTTCAGAGAGCTTAGGAGAGACTCCAGAGTTTTCTGATATCAGTACTTGAGCTCTTTCTTCAAACATGTGTGACTTCTGACCTCCAGAAAGAGCTAAGAAACAAACTGAGGAAGTCAATTTGATAGAATTTGTAATCTGTCCATGCCCACAGCAGAGTTCAGCTCAGTGCCCCTGGTATCCAGTTTAGGGAGGAGTGGCTTTTGGCCCGGGGAAGCTAGGAGGACTTGTGTGATGAGATGACAACAGGGAAGAACATGAGCAAAGGGCAAATGTGGGGAAACAGTGTGCTAAGGGGGAGCTTGTATGGGGGGGATGAGAATGTGAAAAGGTATGTATGTGTGTATGTGATCATCTCAATCTCAGGCCAGGGCTTTGGCCTTTATTCCATTGCCAATAAAGAGCTTACACAAGAGATGTCTCAAGAGACCAACCCTGCTGTTGCAGTCAGAGAGGAAGCAGCCCTCGGTGCATCTGTGTCCCAGCTTGTGGGTGCTGCTGGGTGCCAGCAATGTGGGAGGCATCTATAGGGAGAAAGTGTCTCTGGTTGTGGCCTGTATTCACCTGGTTGTAGGGTTCCCTTCAGCACCCCTTCTCTGTACCCTAAGTAGTTTGCACATAGCAGACCCACAGGGGAGTGTGTCCTATAGTTGCTGGTAGGACTTCTGAGATCATCTGGTGATCATTGCCTCTTCGCATTTCACAGAAATGGAGAACATAGATGGGAAAAGACTTTTCTAGGATCACAAGATGAATAACAGAAGTAATGTAGTATTTTTTGAGTGATTACTCTGTACCAGGCCTTGGGCTAAACACTTTCCATGGATTATCTCATTTAAACCTCACAAACCCTCTGAGAGTGCCCCTCTTGAAAGCAGGGCGTCCTTCCTTCCATGTCCAGTTCCCAAGGAACCTACCTCAGGACCCGGTCCTTGAACTTGTCAGAGTTCAAATACAGTACTGGGCTGGGGAAGGGGAGAAGGACGCAGGGGCGGGACCAACCGAGAAGCCCCGCCCCTCAGCACAGACCCTGCCCCAGGACGTCGACGTCACTTGTGGCTCCGCCCCTCATTGTCAGTCCCGGGGAGTCGGAGGAGCCGCCGGCCGCTGGGACCTGGGCGCCCAAGCACTAGGCTGGCGGGAGCGCGGGTCGGAGCCTCTGAGGTGAGGACTCCGCAGGGAGGCGGCGGGAGCGCGGCGCAGGGGCTAGGGGGGTTGCGGGGCGAGGAGGGCGTCCGACGGAGGCGTCCGGCCCGCGGAGAGGTCGGGGACCCGGGGCGGCGGGGCAGAACCGGCGGGCGCACCCGCGGAGGGATGGGAGTGTGGGGCGGAGGAGAGTTTGGGCGGCTCGGGGAGGACGAGTTCGAGAGGGGAGATCTTTTGGGGGCGAGACCTTGAAAATGTTTTCAGAGTTGGAGGAAGAGATCCTGAGGAGATTTTTCCTCTGGAGGGGGAGGGAAGGATCTGAGGAGACTTCTTGGTGGGAACGAGAACCTGAGGAGGAATGTTTAGGGCAGAGGGGCGGAGGGGACGTTTGTGGGGCCCGGGAGAGCTTGGGGTCGAGTTTGGGCTCGGGGGGCGGGCACGGGCGCGGGCCTGTGGGGGCGGGGCGCGGGTCGGGGCCGGGCCGCGGGGAGGGGTCTGCGCGGGGCCCGCGGGCACCGGGAGGAAGGAAGTGATCAGACAGGAAGAGCCGGGAGCTCGGGCGGGCGAGCAGCGCCGGCCGGCGTGCGGGGCCGGTGCGGGCGCTGGGGCGCGGGGCGCGGGGCGGCCGGGGAGGAGTCCCGCCGCCGCAGCTGTCGGCCGCCCGGCCCATGTCCCGGGCGCTGCTGGTCTCGCGGCCAGACCGCAGGGCCGAGAAGGAATTCGAGGCATTCGCTTTGTTTAAGTTGCCAGTAGACAGTCCTTAGGACTAATTAATGGTGGAATCTGCAGGGGGACGCGGGCGAGCCGGGCCGCCGTCGCGTTGAACTTTCCGCAGCGCGCGGCCCGCCTCCCTGCGCACCCCCGACCGCGTCTGGCGGGGAGGGAGCCATGACTGCCCTGAGCGCAGGAATGAAGTGCGCGGTCGGGGGCCACCGGCCTCCTGCTGCCGGGGCTGCGTGCTGGGAAGCCAGGGTCTTGGGCGCCCGGGCTTGGGCTTCGTAGCCCAGTGGAGACCTCTCTGAGGTGCCTGCGGTTTGTGCTAATTACCTCGGAGGAGGCTCTGCGAGCCGAGAAAGACCACGTTGCTTTGGAGCATCTGTTTCTTCATCGCGTCAGCCCCTTTCCTAACACTGCCGAGCTTGTTGTGACTTGCTTCGGAAATGCCGAGGCCAGTGCTCACACTTGAAGAGGGGAGAGGGGAAGAGATGAGGAACCCCAAAAAATCCCTGCAGTGTTATTTGTAGAAGGCCAAAGACGGCTTGCGGATTTCTCGGTTGCACCTTCACTGACTTGAATGACCTTGGGGAAGGGATTGTGCGTTAACGCCTGGTGGCTAATCTGTCTGAGGAAAAAATACTTTGTGGATCTCCCTGCCCTTCTGCCTTTTGGGGATATTTTGAGTCGTCTCCCCCTTCCCCCAACTGCTGCAGTACTGATTTAAGGAGCTGGACTAGTGTCAGAGCTGGGAAGAATTCAGATCACCTAGGAAGATTTTTACTACCCCAGATTAGGGAGGAGGGAAGGGTTTGGATTTTAGGAGGAGATTTCCTTTCAGAGAATCCATACAGAATGTTCCAGATTGCTGTCACTTTGAGTGCAGCTTTGGTGGCGTTTGTGTGGTTAAATTGAATAACCCCCATAGAAAATTCTTCTCTTGTTAGAAATAATTGTTTAGCTCAGAATTCCCCTTGGGGCAGATTAAGGTTTTGCTCAATTTACTCTGAAGAATTTTCCAGGTTTCTAAAATTAAGCTGCTTTTCTAAATATAGTTACTAAAGTTGAGAAATTGAACTAGTGAGATGGGGAGAGAATGGGTTGGAGTGTGAACCTATACAGCAAGTATAGGTTCATTGTTGATCAATAATTAATATAGATTGATAATTACTTTCCTCGGTTTTTTTAAAAAATCTTAAATGTAAGACCAAGAAAGGGAACCAATATTGTTGAGTTGCTTACTTCGTTCCCAGTAATTTTGCTAGGTGGTGGATATTTTTCATAGTCTTGCCAACAATTCTGTGAGGTGATAGTTGGCATTCCTGTTTTACAGATGTACAGAACTGAAGGTCAGAAGGTAAAGTGTCCCAAGTTCGCACATAAATTAGTAAAAAGTGGAGCTAGAATTCAAATCCAAATCGGTTTGTAAGGTCCATGGTTATTTCCATCATGCATGCTGCCTGGGAACCGGGAAACCTAGTTTCTAGGCCTTTGACTCAGCCACTGGGTCACTGTGGACCCTAAAATAATTCACTTAAGTCTATTTCCCAATAGTGTTGCCTCCTTCTAGCAATGTTATCAGTATGCTTTTAAATTATGCTAGGGTTTTTTTTTGGTACTGTGGATCGAGGGACCTTGTGCTTTCAAGGCAGGCAGCGGAACCACTGAGCTAAATCCCCAGCTCTATTTGCTAGTTTTTGAGAAAGACAGCTTTGGTAGTGCTATGTCCAGTATGTAGTAGGTGCTTAACTTTTGCTTATTATTAGTAAAAATACAGTACCTAAGTGATCAAATATTTCACTTATATAATGAAAGATGGTAGACATTTAATGGTTCTTCCACTGTAGACGCCATCGCCATCGTTAGGGATGACATTCTTGATCAGAAGCTAAGCCGTTTTTTATGTAACATGGCTTTTTGGGACAATATTGACTCAAACACACTACAGGTGGGACTCAGATAGTCCAAGTGTATAGCTTTGACATGTATAAGGTTGTGTAATCACACCACTACCTTTATTCTTCTAAACTGTTACCTTTTAGGAATTGAGTAGCAGGCTAATTCTGGAGAATGTTAGGTTTCTATGCTTAAATTCAATATTGTGAGATCAGAGTGATCAGAGTCAGTGTGCCAACTTGTTAGGAAATAGGGAAGCCTTGGAGTTTAATGGTGGGGTAAATTAAAATAGAAACACTTGTTGATTAAGAGAAAGATGAACAAATTTGGAAAGAATAGGTTATAGTTACTTTTAGGCCAGGGGATATATTTTTTGGGAAACATTACCCCAAAGATTTATTAAAGTGTTGAACATTTAATTTTTGTTTCCCTTTGAAATTTTAGGTCTTATGCTTATGAAGTCCTTAACATGTTATGGTTAGCATAACAGGTCCAAATAACACTTAAGGGTGAGGATGCTATGAAGTATGTGGAAGGTTAGAAAACAGAATTTCCTTGGTTTTTTTTTTTTTTTTGTTAATGGGGATTGAACTCAGGACCTCAGGACCTTGTGCTTGAGAGGCAGGCAACAGAACCACTAGGCTAAATCCCCGGCCCCTGGAATTTCCTTAGTGTTGCTCTCTTAACTTGCTTTATAAGTAGAAATTGTGGTCGCTGGGAAGACCTAAGATTTTTTTCCTTGTCATAATTTTTTTTTAGTCACTAAACCTGACCCAATTTGCTTTATTTTAGCTCAAGTCTCTGACTTGAAAAGTGCTTGAACCTGTTGCTACTGAGAATCTAGAAAAAACTTCATTTGGGGGGCTAGGGATTTAGCTCAGTGGTTCTGCCACCTGCCTCACAAGCACAAGGTCCCAAGTTCGATCCCTGGTACCAAAAACAAACAAACAAAAACTTTGATTCTACCACTTCATCCTTTCCTTTTAAAAATTAATTTTATTTCTCTTGTTTCTCTGTTTTATAATCTCCCTCTCTTATCTATGAATTTGAGAATGGAAACTCTTGTTAATATGGACCATTGGCCCTTATATACCATTATGAAATAATGATTAAATTAAAATACCCCCTAGACTACTCAACATTTTGGGTGGCTGTGGGGAGAAGATAATAACTCTGTGAGGAGGTAGTCATTATCCTCATTTTGTACATGAGAGAGCTGATCTCAGAGCAGTTACTGCCAGAGCTAGTGAGGGGCCAACCATTGATTTGAGCTCAGGTATGACTGATGTTCAGGTTTGGGATCTTTTATTTCATTATACACTCTGGTGTGTTGAAGTGGGGGTGGGAGGTCAAGGAGAAGGCTTGAAAATACCATTTAAAAATCTGAGCCACAACATAAGCTTTGTTAGCTTTTTGTTTGTTTTGTTTGTTAGCTTTTGTAGAAATTGCTGTTTTCATATATTCCTTTTGTAATTTCTAGATATACCTTTTTACATTGTAAGGAATTTATAGCTCATCTTTAATAGTGCAGATTCCTTCCCAGACTCAGCATTTTTTTTTTTTTTTTTTAGGTATGGTACTTTGTATTCACTGGCTGTTTGAGTTACACCCGCTCCTATTTTATGTTTCTGAAAGCACCCATCACATTAGTTTGTTATTGAAGAGCCTTCATATTTGTGTGTGCCTCTCTATTCCTGTTTGATCTGGACAGTCATATTTTAAAATTGTATGTTATTAAAAATTTGCATAAACCTTTAAAAATTCACCATACTTCTTATAAAATTACCGTACTTTTTTGTAATATATATAGATCAATGCACATGAGAAAAGTTTGAAGATTTTGGTTCTGTAAACTGAGTATACCTATGTAGCTATCATTATCAGTCACTAGAAGCCCCCATGGAGTTCTCCCCCTTTTCTTTTTCTTTTTTTTTTTTTTGGTACCCGGGATCAAACTCAGGTCCTTGCGCTTGCGAAGCAGGAGGCGAAACCACTGAGATAAATCCCAGGCCCCTCTCCCCCTTTTCTTATCTCCTCTGTGCCCCACCCAGGGTAATCACTATCCTGACATGGATAGTGATAGATTAGTTTTGGCCTTTTGTAAAAATGGAATCATATAGTATACATTCTTTTGGTTCTGGCTTCTTTTATTTAACACCATGAGAGTTTGCAAAAAATTTTACTGGTTTTCTTTTGGACTTGGAATAAAACAAAATATTAAACTCTATCTTAGCCTATAATGCATTGTATAGCCTGACCCCTGCCTACCTTTCCAGCTTAATTTTATATCATTTTCATTGTCCATTTTGCTTCACTCACTTTAGCTTCTTTATTCTTAAATGCAACAAGTTCTTTTTTTTGTTTGTTTTAATCTCAGGCCCTTTGTATATATGGCTATCTTGTCGTTT